CCTTCGAAGCATAATAAACTTTAGGAATAAAGTAGTAAAGAGTAATAATTTTGATGAAATAATCTGTTAAAGGTCAATCGAACTAGGAACTTTCATTATTTGGACTGATAGTTACGAAAAAGAATTGAGTGAAATCTGATATTTTACGGAGAGTGTGGATGTAAATGTTATGGAATATTCCTTATTACATTTATAAGGAATTATCCCATATATATTCTTTTCTTTCTTTTCTATGTATGTGATCTTTCTTTCGTTCTGTTGCGTGTCCTCGATATGTTTCTTTTGGTATTTTCCTAGTTAAGATTTCTTATATATATATATAACTCAGGTATTTTTCCATAATATGATATGAGAAATATCCAGCTAGTCTAGATATATATAGAAATTATGTTTTACGTTATTGTGTGTGTGAATTAGTTAGTAGTTAAACTTGTTACGTATTAAATAAACTATTTAACTAAAGAAGAGATCTAACAGTGAATTAAGAGAAGAGATACTCACAACCACACTCCTACCATCTATGTTAGTGTCTAAGAATTATAACTATTTTGCGAAAGAATCTATGCAAATGGTTATATTTCAGATAGAAATTTAGCCTAATTAGAATTGTAGCAACTTTTACAATGAAATCTACTTTAATTTTTAAAAACATAGCAGACAATTTAGAGAAATTATGAGTAAGATTTGATTTTCGTTTCAATTATTACGAAATAATTAATACAAGATTGAGAGAAGCATATTAACAGCTCGTCATTTTTCTCAATTATCTTTTGCATTAATTTTTCAATCCATAAACGTGCTTTCGTGAAATAACTTTTAATTAATGTATATCATTGTTATAATTTACAAAATTTATACTTTATTTTCATAAACAGAAATTTACTTCCGTTGAAGCGAAAAAAATTAATTTTTTTATTCTAGTCAATCATATATTAAAAGAACAAGAATTTTATTTTCAGGAAATAAGAAAAGTTTACTACGAAGACTTTTGATTTAATGCATCTACCACAATTCAAATTACATTTTGTACCATTTGGACAACAATATTGATCATCAACAAAATATACACCTTATAAAGATTATTTAAATCAAAACTATAAAAAAAAATGAAATAAACATTTACTTGAGGAAAAGTACAATAAGCATCTCGATTATCATGTAATTTGGAACATATTTGATTCAATGGACAAACAATATGTGAAGACCTTCATCGAATGAAAGCTTTATTCTATGGTGAAACTATTGATTTTTATAGCAAATATATTTAAATGGTCAACACTTAAACCATTTGAACCAGAAAACATACTCTTGAATTTAAGTTTTTATTTTTGAAAATCTAATTAAAAATAACTTGGACGTAAGTTTAATCATTAGTTATGTTTACTTAAATAACATGTATAATTTAGATTTATTCTAATCAACATAAAATTCAATTGATGAAAAAGGTAAACAATGCAGAGAGCAAAACTAGGCAATATTTTACTACCTCGCCTCGGTCTTTTTTAGATAATATGAATACTAATTCTCAGAATATCGTCTTTATTAAAAATTCAATTTAGTTTTGTAATATTTGCAATGTGTAGTGCACTAGATTTTTGATTAATTTATTTGACACAACTTTATTTCCTAGTAAGCCAATAAGAAATATTAATAATAGAGAAAAAAAATTAGAAAAGAATTTTTTTACACAGTTGGCAGCTTTATTCTGTTATTTTCAATTGATCGTAGAAACAATATATTATGAACTGTTGACAGTTCGATTGTAGATCGCGATTGTGAGACAATCTGTCCTGCAGTACGAAATTCTTGTTCCGCTGCTGTGGAACTATATGAAATGGAAAAATAGATTTGTTTTCTTTTCAACGAAACATGCAGTGGATCAAGAAATATTTTGTCCAGAAAATCAAACTCGGTGTAGCTGTCAACTTTGTCTTTTGTTTGCTTCACTTTCTTTCTTTTTGATGTTTGTATATTATGATTCATTAAAAGATTCCATAAATAAGTTTTGTCGTCTTTGCTTAGGTCCAGAAGCAAGTATGTCTTCATCTTGAATACTATAAATGTCATCAGATGCAGTAGCATTTCGTCATATTTGGTTGCGATAATGTGAGTCCATATAGCAAATCTCAATGTTTTATAGTTTGAATATAGAAAGGCATCCATCACATGGATATCATCCATTTGCAACATCGAATTTATTAGTTGTTGAGCAAGTTTATACAAGAATTTTATACCTAGATGAAAATAAAACATATTCTTTTGCCTTTCGAGTGTACAGCTGATGCGTGTTGTCTAATAGTTATAGCATCGAGTCAATTCGATATGTTTTAATTCAAATATACTTTACTGATTTAATCTTAATGTTTCATCGTACTATATATTTTCATCTGATGAAAAGGATGACAATCAAAATGGCAGTTATGTTATAATGTGATAAATGTTTCTTTTTAACAAGCTAATTTTTCTACACTCTTCTGATAGACTTGCTATTTGAACGAATTAGTAATCACACATAGAAAAATAAAAGAAAGGAATTGTTTTATTTTTATGTTAAAATTAATAATCATTTGTCATTTCATTCACTTGCATTTTAATATTGTTTTTAACCTATTATTTTTCGTTTTCGATTAGTTTATTATAAATTAAATTATGATTCAGTGATGAATTCTTCTGAATGTTCTTCAATTTCATCTGATGTTCCATCATCTTCATCTATATCTTTATCTGCACAATTAATAAATATTGATATGAATAATAGATCAGTTTTGTTGGAAACATACTACACATATTATTACTCTTTATCTTAACAAATATAGCATTGCTTTTTTCGTATAGTTTTGAACAAAGAGTATTTACTAACTATATCAGAATTATAAAATAGCACTGTTGTTGATAAAAATACATCTACATCTTGCTGGAAATTCTTTGGATCGCCAGCTAATATATTAGGTCTAGATAGATATAAAAAATAATAATAAAAAAACATTGCATCATGCAAAAACTGTTATCAAACATATTCCTATTCACGATCATCATCAACAACAACGCTCTCAAATCAGCAATGTTCAGCTTTCATTAATATAATTCAATAAAAATTACAGACATTGGTGTGCCAATAGGCTATATTCCTTCCTATTCACATATCCACGTTACTTCATTTTGAGATAAGCCTTGGCTCTAAAGGTAATCATAATAGAAACAGACCTCGGCCTTCTATCTTATATAAGAACAGAAGAAGGTGAAGATATATAAAATTATCTATCCTTGTGTATAGTGACAATAGGCTTAGACCTTCTATCTCATAAAAAGAGAAGGTAAAACCATAGAAATATTAATCCTTGTTTGTAATGATAATAGACTTAGACCTTCTATCTTATAAAATGAGAAGGTAAAACTATAGAAATATTAATCCTTGTTTGTAATGATAATAGGCTTAGTCCTTCTATCTTATATAAAGAGTGAGAGGAAGCGAGGATATAAAAGGACGAGCAAAAGAGTAGTTGGGCAGACACTTTTCTCCGAACAACCAAGTGCATCAACATCGTGAATATTCTTAATACATTTATACGTGTGTTTGATTTTATGTGTCTCAATTCGTGTTTTATTATATATATGTTTATCGTTTATTATTTACTTTAAATAAATAATATTATACAAGTAGCATTAAATAAGAAAGTTTTAATATAAACTTCAATCAATTCTTATTTTTCGTTACAATTGGTTATATCGAAATAAATTCTGGCATCAGCACTTGCTCATGGTAAATCGAATGACAAACAAAAAGCTTCATTCATTACACTTATGAGTGACTGAATATGTTAGTTTAATAAATATAAATCATCATTAATTATTCTGCTTCAACACTACCTCGAAACAATACACTACTGCGATTCTTCTTCAATTATCATCTCATGCAGAATGTATTTTGGTTGCCATCATCCATTGTAATGAATGGGTAAGATGTATCAAAAACGTAGATTTAACAAAATGAAAGAAGTTGAATAATATAAATCTGTTTTTTCTGAATCAATTTGAATCAAGAACTTGAAGAACGAAATGCAGCTCTTCCGATCCAAAGGTGCAAGGATGAGATGGCTTTCGTTATACAATTGTTTAGAAAGTGTATGGAAATCTTTTAATTTACCGATATAAATTTTTGATGAAAAACAATTAGACAAGAAAAGAATTAATGTAATCAATGTTTGTTTATTGAAAAAAATTAATTGATTTTTTAAAATTTTCGACTTTTGCTATGAAAAGAGTATCGATGTGAAGCTAGCACCACGAGCAGCTAGCACCACCAAAAAAAAATTCCTATTGGTCGAAAAATTAACCAATCAGAAAAATCAAAACCATGATACTCCATCATGGAGGACAAGAATTGGACTATGGCTTCCTTAGCAACCCAATTGAATATGCATATTTACATATGTACGCGAGCAACAAACCACAACTAATTACCTTCACAACAAAATATAAAAGAATATCAAACTTATCACCTTCTCTAATAACTTCACAGCAAACAAATATAATGTCATTCACTAAATTCTACATATCACCAACAACTATGAACACACTTCTGCTCATTAAACTTTCTCCAGCAAATGTGACCTGTTTCAATCGATGTAGAATTGAATTCTGCATCGAATGGAGTTATTTCCATCC